GAAGGCCCAGACGATGACTAGACCGGCGATCGGAGGTGTCAATGACCAGACCCTAGAAGGAAGCTATAATGTCCTGTGGGAAAGACCAGATGCCAGAGATCGATCCGGAGACGATAACCTGATGTCCCAGGCCACCAAGGGCCAGTCCAGAGGAAAAGACCCGCCTAGGAGACCGTCTACGAGACCTGTCGTGCGGAGGACCCATGGACCCCAAGGTGGATGTGCCAGGCCAGGCCGGCCTCATCACAAGACCAGGATCGTCATCAGAAGTGTCCATCTAAAGACGCCGAGTCAAGTTGAGGACCAACCAGCATCACCGCTGCCATTTTATTATTAAAAAAAAAAAAAAAAAATTTTTTTTTTTGAATTTCATTCACTTCACCGGAGAAGACGAACAATCACTCTAGCCAAAGGTCCCACTCATGTTTTTCGATACAGACACCCATCTACACGTGCCTGTACCCCAAAAAAAAAAGGGGGATTTGTTGTGGACCTTTTGAATTATGTCTCAAAAACATGACTTTATCAAGACATAACATTATATGACAAGCAGCTCAGTATAGCCGGATGCTAAGAGTTTAATTTTGTCTTGGTTGAACCTCAAGGATTCTAGTTAAGAAATGGATAGAATGGGGGAAGTGAGACTTTTCATAAGACAATAAGACTGTTTGGACTGTCAAAAAGTACTATTTGTATATTGAGGTTGAGAAGAATGCATATACAAGAAAGTCAAACAGATAGCCAGATAGGACTTCGACTTTCAAACATTTTAACAATAATGAGACGGGAACTCAACTGGTTGGAAGTTTACCCAAACCTTGTAGAGTGTGATAAACCAACAGACCTCTGAAACTATCACAATATACTATTGTCCACCAAGGGTGAAAGCATTAACAGTTGTTTACCATGATTCTAATACAAGAGCCAGGCAAACAGAGAGTTTTTCCCTACACATAGAAAATGTTGGTTTCTAAAACAAAGAAGTGAAATTCAGGACATTTAAATCTAAAAATTGACTGTATATAATTACAAAGATATACTACAAAAACATATTATAAATAAGATGTTATAGATTTTACACACCACTAAATATTCAGCAATGGGAACTATATATCACTAACTTGAGTATTGAGATGATGGAAAGTAAGATGTATTATAAACTAGCATTAGTTACATGTCTTATCAGGAAACAAACAGGATGGTATTTCCAGAAGGAATAACTGAATATACACCTATATTCCATGGTCCCTATTTAGAATATTATAGGTATGATCACTTATATCTGGAAAAAGACGTATATTTGATCCCTGAAATTACCTTAAGATTCCACCCGAGGTATGAGTCATCTCAAATACTCAAATTGTTCTATGATACATGACCGCCACCTGGCGGGCAGGTGAGAAATAGCTTATGTACACACATTTCTCAACTAGCCAATCAAGAAGCCTGGTGGGAAGGTATCTTAGAACAATGGATTAGTGGATATAAAAGCCCTTGTACCTTTAAGAAAGAAAAACCTCATCAAGAAAAAGCTCAAAAAGAAAAACTCATCAAAAGAAAGACCTCATCAAAAGAAGACCCTGACATCTGAAGAAGATCTCTGCTGAATAACTACTCTTCCATCCTTTCAAACTTCCTAAAACTTTACTAAATTTCTAAACCTCTGTCCTTATAACTTCCTACATTCTCCCATACTAAATATCTATCACTTGCCCTATAATATCATTTCTAAAGGCGTTCCACTGCCAGCTAAATCCACGGGAGAGTTGCCTAGTCTGAATGCCGGGCGCGGTGAGATTGTTTATTTGATTTTGTATTACCTATTTTCTCTGTTGTGTGGAATCATAAAATTACCTTAGTGTATCACAACAATATTGGGTAGTTAGATATATGTAGAGAGATCCTGTTTTACTGTTAAAAATTGTTTGTTGCCATATTATAATTTTTTTTTCCATATTTCATAATTTATTGAATATTAATAATCAGAGTATAATATATCAAGGGCTAGCTTCTTGCAATCCTATGGCCACGGCTTGTGAGAATATCACCTTTGAGATAATCAAATTATTAATTATTTAATAAATTTAATTAATAATCAGATCATTTAAAAAATTGTGATATTGATGTAATTAGTTAGAAACCTTATTATTATGTATTACATTGGTAGGGTATATTTTTGATTGTGTGTACCAATATTCATTTTATCACCAGTCTTTTGCGTTTTGTGTTAATATATATAATTTTTTGTACATAAATAAATTTTTATATTTATCTATTATAAGGCAAATTTTGTGTGTATGGTACGAAATCATATTGGCTAAAAGAATTCAAGGTATAATAATAAGTGGTGATCAAATTATCAAGGTGTCCAAATGATTGGTTTACTAAATATTTGCCGTATTTTAACGGCTGGAGGCACTGTAATATTTCATCTAAGGGAAAGGGACACGCCCTTTATAAATAATATATATCCTTACATAAACCACCACACTTCTTCATGTGAGACCTTTAAAATATTGCACTTACAACCTCCTGTACAATGAGAATTTAATCCAGGGCCAGGCACCTTATTTTTGTATTTACAAGAGGTTTATCTAATAATTCAAATTAAATAGGAACTAGCTATAAATAGAAACCTCTCCATAAAGGGTCTCCAAGAGGTCCATCACCTACAAGACACTGATAAAAAAAAAAGGGGGGGGGGATGTCCTGAAGCTTTGTTAGTGTCCAATCATCTGAAGGCAATAGCCTGTAACCCAAGGTCTGTGAGTATCCAATTTGTCTATCCAGCCTGATTAAGGTAAAGAATATTTCCCTTACTTTACGATTAGGATATGTGGGTATCAGCAGGGGAGTTACCTTTCCAGCAGTGGAAGGTAACATTTAGCAGACAGTAGTCTTAAATCAGATAAATAGGCAAGGGTCAATGAAGACAATAACTTTGAAATGGAAGACTTTTTTTTGCAGACAGATGCAACCTTACACACCACATGCAACAGATACTCCTTTTTGAGAAGCAGTCACCTGTGGTGTGTAAGGCAGTATCTGTTTGTCCTTTGGTCTCTGAGCTTAAACTATTATTTTTCAAGTGGGCCTGCAGTTTTTTGCTTCTCAAACAGGCAGCACCCGCATACTGTATTTGCTTATTTGTCCAGCTTTTTTCCCTAAAATCCTTAATGGCATTCAAACTGTACCAGTGGAATAAAATTACTGTGGGGGCTATAAAAAAAATGCTGCAAGTTTTCATCAAATAAAGCAGAACTAAAGTCTCAATACTTTCCTGCCCTGAGTGTCGGTCTTCGGGCCACTTCATTGGCCGGCAGAGGATAGTGACACTTTTGTGCATGTATAGGAGGCCATCATCCCAGCACTCAGAGACTGGCCTGGCACTGTAAGCTGTGCTGCGTATACAGAGTTAAGTTTAGAGTACTGGAGGAGACGTGTGCAGGAAGGTAGGGGCATTTATTGCAGCAGAGACAGTCTGTGTGCTGCAGTCACAGCACAGCTGACTTCAGTTCCACTATAAATGGACTGATACAAGCGCGGATCACAGATATATATCAGTTATTTTAAAACTGGAGAGAAGTCTGTACTGAAAGAAGTAACTAGGTTTCTTCTTGAAACACTAGTTGCCTGGCTGTCATTCTGATCCAATGACTTTACTTTTTCAGAGATTCGGATGCAGAACAAACATGAATATCAGGAATTCTGCCTTCAGTCAGCTACATACTTGTTGGCAATTAGCAATAACATCCTCCGTATTTCTCGCTCTCGCAGGTTTCTTTGCTGTTTTTTAAAGGATAATTTCATGTTTAAAATAAATAAATGCACTTTTTTTCAGGTAAAGAAAATGTGCATTTACTTTATTTTTTCTTAGCAGCCTAGAAGGTATTACACTCATGATCATACCTCCGATACTGGAAAGCAGTTTCTTCAGTCCAGGAAGAATCAATGAACTATGAGGTTGCTCTCCTGTGTCCTTGCAGTTTGAGAACTAAAAGCCATCAGCTGCAAAAAATGTTGGTACTTGTAGTCCATTCATTCCTCTGTGAATGAATGACGTGGTCATGTGGGCAGAGCCTTGCACAGCCACACTCTTTTCACAGGGTACAGGGAGAAGATCCCCAGCCTGCTGTCACAGGGAGGGGCAGAGGGAAATCTGCAGGAGGCGTAACATGTTACATGTTCCACTTTAATGTAACATGTTCCCGAAGGTGAACTTATCCTTTAAGTGTTTTACAACAAGTCAACAGGGGACTTAACAGCAAGAAATACTTGAATGCATAAGCTCTTCCTGGAGTGTTCTCCTTTTTAACAGATGTGTAGTGGCCTGTGTTTTCACCTTTTATATATCCAGAATAGCTAGATGTATACTGTACTTCAGTTAAAACCTCTTTTGAGTTTTGGTTGGAGATGGGAAAGGTAAGACAATGTCAAATTTTAAATGCTACTGTATGTCCACATTGTGATTTCACTAACTTTCTGTTCTGTTTGATACTTACCACTTAGACAGGAAGGGAGGGAAAATTCTTCAAAGCCAAGTCCATATAGCAAGCAATTAAAAATTTCACAGAGGTTCTAACCCTTCCTTTCTTTACCACAAATGGCTACGAAATTTCTAATTGTCTACAATCTGATACTGATACTGGAAAAATCACTGTACCACTATTCCATTAAGGAAAGTTTATTAGCTCTTGCTGTGGCATATCATACTCAGTTGAGGAATGAGTGCAAATTTCCTGCTATTATTTTATATGAAATGTATGTGTTCCATAACCACATTTGGTATGATAGGACTTGGAATGGAGTTTACAGGACGATTTTTGTTTTGCAATGATTTTACACTATACGGCTGTAGTAAGTAATGCACTTGTGCATAAAAGAAGAATAACGAGCACAAAATCCACTTTTAATATGGAAAAAAAAAATCAAATCGCATATTTATTCTTTTATTTAATATTTTAATGACAAACACTTGTTACACACAACAATTGGCAAGATTATGATGGGTTTTTATACATTTGGCTTAGCTGTTCAATTATTGAAACCAACTCAGGATTTCCTCCTAATAATTCAATTTGTCCATATGCCTCCTTTTCTAACTCTCTTAAAGTCTGTCTTGTGTATTCAAAGGAGCCTACCTTGTCTAGATAATGCACACAGTATTTCTTGATGTCTACGTTCTCTGTCCTCTGCCGCAGAATATTTTGTACCTGAGTACTTTCAGGCCTTGACCAAATTGCATGTATCGTAGGAAATGAAAACTTTCCCTCTGTCAAGTCTTCACAGAAACTCTTGTTCTCACTATACTCTTTAGAATTTAAATTTGCATAATCATCTCTAATTTGAAAGAAAAGTCCAAGAGTGTTTAGCAGAGGTTTCAGATCTTTTTTATAAGATGAAAACAACTGCATTAGACCTACAGCTAGCCCAAACAAACCTCCAGTTTTCTGCAAAAACCATATTCTTGTATTCAATTTCAGTAGGACAAGTATAAGTATCTCTCCAGTATATATCTAATCCTTGTCCACGATGCAGTTCAAGCAACTGCTGGGTGAAAAACATTGACAGCATCTGGATGATTAAGCGTTAAAACTTTCTCCAATCCTAAAAAAATATACATAATTTGCAGAATTTATAACAGATGGAACACCATAAATGCTATGGGCAACAGGAAAACCTCTGCGAAGTTTGGAGTTGTCTTCAATGTCATCAATAAGTAGACTGGCATTGTGAAGCATTTCGGTCACTTCAATTATTACCTGTTATAGTAAAATAAAAAATATACAATCATACCGTATATTAAAAAATACAAAAATCTTCCTTTTTATGATAAACTGTAATCCAGCCACACTTTAAATGTCTCTCAAACCACGTTTATTGATTGATTTTCAAATGCAAGATAGTACATACATAGAAAGCAACCACTTGCATCCCAGATCCTTTATTCACTCATTTCCAAGTCTCAGAGCATTTTTCTTTTTTTGCTAAAGAGATGCACATATTTTCCATTTTATAAAATCTAGTTTTTGTAATTAACCCTAACATCTTTTTCAGGGGGAGATATGGCTTTATATCTAGCTTTGTATCTAGCTTTTGATTAGGAATAAAAAGTGAAAAAATGCTCCTGTCATGTGCCCAATATGTATTTTACATAAGTTGTAAAGCTAAAAAAAATCAACTAAAATATAACAAAGAAAAGGATGTCACATAATCCTTTTTTATTGCCATGTATCTGGTCCACTAAAAATGGAAGGAGATCCATCCTCTTCCGTTTAGGTGGACTGTACTCGAGGGTAGTCGGGTGTATATGGACATCGGAGTCAATTTACACCCGGATGTCCATACAGCAGAGTCGTCTCTGTCCGTGTCTGCTCTGCGGAAACAGTGGAGTGTACATGGGTCTGTCATCTACCTGCTCTGCTCCAATCAGCGGGGATCTGTGAGGGGACAGAATCTGCCTGTCTGAAAGGGGCCTACTAAGGACACTGTATTTCTGGTAGGATCAGGTAGGTTCTAAATTCAAATTTAGGTATATTTAACTTTAAGGCAAACATATTTGTAGCATTTACAGCAGGTAAAATAAGTACTAAACACATCAACATTTTTCTCAGTAAATATATTTCTGAAGGTGCTATTGACATGAAATGTCACCACATGTCGGTAACTTATGCAATCCATACAAAGAAACCAAAAACAAATAAGTTCAGAAATTAAGTTATACAATAAAATATAATCAGTGAGTGCTTTTAGATCTAGCAGCTATTGCACATAAAGGAAACCAAATAAAAACCTCATAAAACTAATATTTTCATAAAAGTGCAGATCTAAAACATTATCTCAAATGAATAAAATACATATTGTGACAGTGCATAGTAAAGTGCTTGATACAGGAGTTGATGGTGACTTCAAACTTCAGTGGCGTACCAACAAGGTATAGTAAAAAATACACACTCAAAGGAGCCATTATGCTGTGACGTCACGCTGCCAGTACCTAGGATAGGTCCGGAGGCCATCTAACACTTGTTTATGGTCAGTGTTTTACCACTTTGATTACTATTTTGTCTACAATTTTTTTAACCACGTGGAATATATAATAAATCATTCTTTGCAAATTACTACACTATGGCTACTTTTTGTTTGGCTCTTTGGCGAGCTAACATTCACTTGTAGAGCCCACCCCAGATGATATAGTAGCAGAGTTACATGTGGCACCATTCCAGAGGAGGGAGCTGTTCCATTACTGGCTGACAAGCGTCTATCCATCCATTAAGGAGGCCTCTGGCTTGATCCTATCTGCACCCACCAAGGGAGACATCTGTATAGCTTTATACCACCCAGAGGGAGGATAGTCCGTTAATACGGCACAACCCATCCTGAGAGGGGGACCTCTGGTTATATCATTTTACATGCGTATTTAAAGATACGCATCTGGTGAGTGCGTATTTTTACTATACCTTCTTGGCACACCACTAAAGTTTGAAGTCACCATCAACTCCTGTATAAAGCACTTTACCACGAACTGTCACAATATTTATTATTTTATTCATTTGAGATAATGTTTTAGCGCTGCACTTTTATGAGATATTAGAAATTAAGTTATGTATAATAAAATGGAATGACACAGAGAAAAAGTATTGAACAAATGAGGACAGGAAGGTGCAAAAAGACATGGAAAGCTGAGACACCAGCTGAAATCTATCAGTAATTAGAAAGCAATCGTGCCCCTTGACAGAGCAAATTATTATCAGTTGGTTCAGTCCCAAATGATGGCCTATAAAAAGGTGTCTCATTACCAAGGCGCGCCACAAGAAACATCTCATGATGGGTAAAAAGCAAAGAGCTCTCTCAGGACGTTCACAACCTTATTGTTGCAAAACATACTGATGGCATTGGTTACAGAAGGATTTCTAAACTTCTGAATGTTCCAGTGGGCACTGTTGGCGACATAGTCCGGAAGTGGAAAGAACATAATTTCACCATAAACCGGCAATGACCAAGTGTACCTTGCAAGATTTCTGACAAGGGATTGAAAATAATTATCAGAAGAGTTGTCCAAAAGCCAAGGACCACTTTATGGTAGCTTCAGAAAGACCTGGAATTAGCTGGTACAATTGTTTCAAAGCAAATAAGTAATGCACTCAACTGCCATGGCCTGTATGCACGCTTACCACGTAAGACTCCATGGCTGAAAAAAAAGCATGTTGAAGCTACTTTAGTGTGCTGGTAAACATTTAGACAAGCCACTGAAAAGCTAAGAGAATATAGTCTGGTCAGTTGAGACTAAAATTTAACTCTTTGGATGCCATAATACACACCATGTTTGGCGGTCAAATGGCACTACACATCACCCACTACACATACCAACAGTGAAGTTTGGAGGTGGGAACATCATGGTGTGGGGCTTTTTTTCAGCATACGGTACTGACAAACCTCATGTCACTGAAGGAATGATGAATGGAAAAATATACCAAGACATTCTTGTTAAAAATATGCTGCTATATATCAGCATGATGAAGATGAAATGAGGATGGACATTTCAGCAAGACAATGATCCCAAACACAAAGCCAAGGAAACTCTCAACTGGTTTCAAAGAAAGAAAATAAAGCTGCTAGAATGGCCCAGCCATTCACCTTACTTAAATCCAATAGAAAATCTATGGAAATAACTAAAGATCAGAGTTCATAGAAAAGGCTCAGGGAACCTTCAATATTCGAAGACTATTTGTGTGGTAGAATAGGCCAAAATCACAGCTGAGCAATGCATGCAACTAGTTTCTCCATACAGGAAGTGTCTTGAAGCTGTCATTACCAACAAAGGATTTTGTACAAAGTATTAAATACATTTTGGTTAGCATGTTCAATACTTTTTCCCTGTGTCATTCCATTTTATTACACATAACTTAATCTCTGAACTTATTTGTTTTGGTTTCTTTGTATGTATGGATTGCATGGGTTGTTAAGGATATGTGGTGACAATTTCATGTCAATAGCACCTTTAGAAATATATTTACTGAGAAAAAATGGTGACGTGTTCAATATTTATTTTACCCACTATATACATTCATAAACAGATGGTGGCACAAGCTAATAGTACTTTAACAATTACCAACAGAAATGCATGGGGTTTCCTATGAGTTTCTGATATAATTTGTTGGATTACAACAAAAGTCTTATGTACTAAATTATGGTTTGCGCAATCATCAGTTTTTCAATGCATACAGTATATCAGTGATTATGAGCAGAAGTGGAACGACCTACAGTGATAACTATCTTTGTAAATCAACTGTTACTGTTGTAGTGTTTACTGATGGCATCAAAGCTGAACTCCAAGTAAATAGCTAAATACACAGATACATCATAGGGGCTGTACATGCCTGCCAAAAGGATTTGTATTTCTGTCCATTCACATTTTTTAGATTTACACAGCCATCTCATACAGCATATCCAGTAGGTGAACACACACAGTGAAAGAAAGAATGGTATTCTCTGTGTATTCTTAATCTCCAGGATGGACAGTCAAAAACTGCCAACAGGCTGAGTAGATCACCCCTCTGTTGACTCTGCTCTCCTAACCTATCAGCATGTTTCTAGTAAACACATTTAAATCCAGCACACCTGCCTGACTCCCAGTCTTGTATTTTCCTTGTCATATCTGAGTGCTGCTGTATAGGGGATTGCAAGACATCAATGCCAAGTCAGATTCAGCTGCTTACTTCAATTGTATTTAAAAAAAAACATATGCATAATAAATATTTAAATGGATATAGAGCTGAATTATTTGTGTCTCTTATCTGGAGTTTAGCTTTAAGTACAGTACTGAATGCATTCACCTTTAAAAAGACAAGTGGCAACTCGCACAATAACAGATGAAACTGCGTTTATCATCAAGAACACCCATCGGCTTTAAAACTCAATCAAGTCCTGGAGACTGCAGCACTGCTACAGGCCTGGTCAACTTAGGTGACCAGCTACAAAGAAGCACAGACTGTCCGTGAAACACAGTGCCAACAGGAAAAGGTGTCACGTGCCAAAGGAATGTGCAGGGGGTATGGCTACATGGTTCAGAGCCACCAGGCTCCTTATTTAAGCCTTCATTTCTTGGTCCTGCGCTAATCAGACCATCTCTGCTTCCTAGTAACTTGTTACCTCACTTGACCCTCACTGGGACTGAACTGATGTGTTCTCTCTACAATACTACACTTAGTCTGGCGCTCTCTGGTGTTCCCTTATAATATATAGAGATTTCTTCTGTCTCTGAGGAGCCACAGCTAGTATATATAAGGGGATTTAACCCTTGATGGACTCTTGTATGTTGGACTCTATGTTTCTTGTGCATTCTCTTCAACACTTACCACTTAATTTACTTGTGCACAATTTGTTTGCTTTCTCATTTTTGACAAAGAATGTAGGATTTGCACTTCCCTTCCAGGAGCCTTTTTTTGTCTTCTTTTGGAAACAAGAGAGGTGTTTTACCAGCTGTGTGCAAACGTCTTTCATTGCTGTTTCACCCACATAAATGAAAATTCACCCAAACCTTTACATATAAAGGTTTTTAAGCACCTCAATTGCTTTCCAGACCTTTCTGCTGTGCTCCTCTTATTCAAAAATGAACCTCCTAAATTATATTTATTATCCCTAGCATAGATACTTATTAGTGCACAGGAAATATCGGTGTTAAAAAAAAATATTTAAAACCACTTTGTCTTTGTGCTGCTCAGTATGTGTAAAAACAACTCCA